TAAGAAAGTATAGAAACACTGGTAGGATAACTAGGTACAAACATAAACCATGTAACAGCATGTTCTCATATTTCTACGTTTGAAGAAAAGTTACTTTAAAAATACATAAAAACAAGTTGTTCAGGTATTCACAGTTTGAGTGGAGGTGGAATCAAGTGCTGGAATAGAAAAGAGAAGGATGAACGATTTCAAGGCAATTATATTCCAAGTCCAAAGGCACTGACAATACAGTACATGGTCTTATTCTCCCATCTCACAGTGCAGGTTCCTACAAACACAAAAAAGAGTTTTAGAAACAGAAGAAAGCTACAGTGATTAAATGCATGCCCCTATACGCATCTTTATAACTGTTTACTTTAAGAATCTTTAAAATGAAGCTTTTGCAACAGCTAAGCGTTTTTAGAGATTCTATTCATATATAGCCCAATTAGCATCACAGCCAAATGGAAAAAATACCAAAAAGTATGCTATTCCTCCAAAGCTACAGCACTTAGAAAAAAAGAAAAGTATGCTGCCTGGTCTTAAAGAGACTGGCATTAAAACTGCAAGTTGAAAAATCCGACAGTCACGCTCCTTACCATCGCTGGAGTTGTCCCAGAAGCAAGAGCTTGCTGTATGTAGCCCAGCACCATTCTTTTGCATAATCACACAGGTCACTGTTAGACAGTAGAGAAGCTTTTATTAATTTATCACTAACATTAATTAACATTCACCTACCTTTTGCTCAGCAAAGCATACACACACACACATATGCATGCTTAGGAGCAGTGTACAGACATGGTTCTTGCCGAAGATCTTCTCCCACCCAATAGTGCACTTGACTGCACCAGCTTTCACAGAAAAGAGAAAGTTGAGCTCACCGATGTACTTGAAGGGCTTTCCCAGCTTTGTGAGTTGGCTCAGTGTCTGTTCCACCACACCTGTTGTCCACTGGTTCACCTTGCTGTGCTGGTAGGCGTTGCCACCTATCGCACCCTCTATGGCCTGTTGGGGACGCACACATAAAGAAGCTGCACCGGGTTCATCTACAAGGCACCCACTAACCCATTCCAACATGGACCCCACACCCACAGAAAAATCCTAAATACTGCTGGTCCACACTGGCTGTTGGAACTGTTTTTAATTATTATAAACTTGCAGGTCAGAGTCTGAGCCAGGAATCTCAGTCAGGCATCATAGATTCCATCCTCTGTCATTTTGCGACATTCAGACTATTTGTAATTTCTATCATAATGTTCCTGCAGCCAGCTACGAAAAGGGTCTGAAGGCATTTAAACAGTCCTGAAGAGAATGAAAAAATGCACATGACAATGGCTCATTGGCACATATTCTTCTATGGAAATGAAATTCAGATTTTTCAGCAGAATCATTTTTGGGAAACAAACCCCAAATTAAAACAAAAGACCCATGTAGTTGCTGGTTACTAACAGAGCAGAAGCCTTCAGCCAAATAATCCATTTTACTTATGAGGATAGTTTCCCCTTTAAGATAGACATAAAAGTATGTTAAAGCTACATGTTTTTCATTGACACATTTTTCATCACCGAAATTGTTTTAAAAATAACCACAATTATTTCAAATTCAGAAGAGACAGGAGCATGTATTAAAGCATATGTATTCAATTTACAGAGTCTGACCAAAAGAGGTATTTTGCAACAAGAAAAAGATTGCACTAGTTTACAAGAGAAATTCCAAATCCCTCTGGAAATTTTCTAGACAGAATATTCATGTTTCTTAGCAACAAGAATAGTTCAGTCATTCCAAAGATGATCTCACTTTGGAGAAAAGCGTCTTGAAAGAACACAGTAACATGCATATGCAGACAGTCAATAAAAAACTCCTGTATTTTACTGAAACATAAAATCTATTTCTATAGGGCTTAACATAAAATATCCCCCTAGAAATTCTAATAGGGATGTGCTTCAACCAGAGAGGTATGTATGAAATTATTTTAATTATCTTTTAGATTTGTGATACGTATCACAGCTAAGGCTGGGCATCATTTCTCCTTAAAGTCTCTACATTGATTATATCAAGTTACCTATATTTTGAGAGCAATCTATCTAGAAATCTATTACATATCCGTTATCAGATTTTACTGAATATCTTTTAGCACACAGCATAAAACATACTATAGTTTCACACCAACAAAACAAAAATGTTAATTTACCTCTTTAATGATGCTACTGACTTCATCGACAACAAAGGAAGCCTACAAAAAAAGTAGAATTTTAAATAATCAGTTGACACATTCTTCTGTTTAGAGAGTTCGAGATCTGTTAAGAACATGCATTAGAAGTTTAATTTATGCTTGTCAGATTTCTGCTAAGTCAGCAGATACCAAGTCTTCCTTTATTTGCTCATATGTACTCTGGCTCCTTTAATCCAGTCAAGCGAACATTCTTAGCAAAGTAATGAAAAGTAAGAGATGAACTAATATTGGTTGGCCTTTTAAGTCAAGGAAGTTTTCAAATTTTAACTTGGAAGCATTTTAAAATCACAGGTATAGCACTTCTGTACATATATATTCTCCTTTCACAATAAGCATCCATGTCTGCACATCAGGGTGGGCTCGCAGAGAAAATCTCAGTGTGCAGACACAGCCTGCAGTTAAATGAAACCTACATCTCCAGGGCACCCATGCAACAAAACATCAATTCTCCGCTGAAGGAAAAACTGTCATAACAATCTCAGCTGGGGATAAGAACAAAACTGCCCCTTGGAAACCAAGGGGGAAATGTAGCTCGCTGGACCTTCAGCCTTCTCTCAGGCTCTGGGGAGAAGATCAAGCACATGGAATCAGGAGAGAGAAGGCCCCAACATTTTATTAATCTTAAATCTACTACCCATTTACATGTATGGTTAGTAGGTTTTCTTGGTTTAGTCCCTCATCTCTTTTTGCCCCCCATGTCAGGAGGCTTGAACAACCCAACACCATTGCTGGAGCAGCTACTCACAGGGCAAGGGAGCACTAATGTGGAACCCCACGTGGTGTGTAGGTGAGATACACACCACACTGTCACTGCTGGGGGGACCTCACAGCCACACCTCACAAACCAGGGCCAAAGAAGTGCACATAAAAGCACACTAATTAATTTCAGAAGACCGATTAAGGATGTAAAAATGAACCTAATCAAGCACATGTTGACCGGGTTTTCACTGGGAGGTCAGTCAGCTTCTCCAGCTGACAAACATGAACAACAGCAAAACTCACATATGCAAGCAGGATGCAGTTATACCTGCACAGGAGAATTTCAGCATTACTTTCATAAATCTTTGATCAGAAGGTCAACAGCCTAGCTGGCTTCAATGACACGTGACATTCAGAAAGATGTGAGCCGCTGATCATTCTCCATGACAGAAGAAACAGCATATCCCAGGAGACATGCAGGCAATTCCTTTTCTGCAACTTTTCAGAGGCATCAGCTTGCTTGCACACTTCAACATTTTAAAAAGCTTTTATGTGCTGTGGCAAATTTTTTTATTTTATCTTTATTTTGGCTTTTATTTTCAGCTTCTTGACTTTAATTTTAATATGCCTCATTTATTTTCCTGGTACTAAATTTTACAGGTGCACTAGTGTATTTAACCAAGTAAGAGCTACAACTATTAAAACACTCTGTCCCAAAGAGCATAAGTTAAGAATATTCATGCCAGACACGCTGGCAGACATGAAGCCTGCTGTCAGGTAAAATGATAAACCATATACGTCTTTTTTTCTTCACAAAGTCTAGAACTCTGCTCAGACATGCTATTGAGCACAAACACAGTTCACCAAAGTAAAATGACTTAAATTCAATCCAAGTTCTTGAAGGTATTTCAATATCTAATTTGTACTGAAACAATAAAGAGATTTGAGAATATGCTTCTAGAGCTGCTGTTACTTTTCAATCTTCCTTTTCTGAGATGACAAAAGAGAACAAATTTCTGATATCCAGCTTTGCGATTTATGTGCTATAACTGAGTTGCCAAATAATGTAACACTAGCAGTTCACCTTTTAATAAGACGGCATAAACACTATTTTGTATTAAAAAAATTGTAAGCTTTATAATTTCCCTGCGGTACCTCTGTGGCACAAAGAAAGCAGACACGATATTTCAAACGCCTTGTTTAAAAGGGGCGCTTCCGAGGCAACAAACGCAAACTGCGAAGCAGTACTATCCTTCAGCAATTATTGAAAACGTTTTCGAAAACATCTATAAGAATGATTTTCGAGCATGTTAATGTATGTATGTTATTTATGTCTAAGATTGGTCCAGCCTGGCAACCAGGAGAAGGCTTATAGACCAGCACAAGCCTGACACACCTTCGCTCCTCTCGCTGCTTCCCCATTGTCTAACACAGCCACAATGTAAGTAACAGAGTCACAGCTCAGAAAAACTGTCTTCCTGCAAGAGCAGTACTGTCTGGGTGCTCAATTAGACCCTTGATTTATCCCACTTCGAATCCTGCTAATGGGGTACGACGCCTCCGCAGCGGCAGCTCTGCGAGCTCGGCGGGCGCCGCCCGGGGACAGGAGCCCAGCCCACACCCGGACAATGGGCCGGCTCCCGAGGGGGCGGCAGAACAAAGGCCGGGCCCGTCTCCCGCCGCTGTCCGGGACACGCGGCTCCATCCCGGGGAAAGGTGGCAGGGATCGGGGCGATGGCGGCGGAGGACACTGAGGGGTGGGATCCAGGACGGGCAGGCACCGCCTGAGACCCTCCGCCGGCCCTGAAAGAAGGCGCCAGGCGGGAAGCTGTCCTCCTTCTGCCCCCCCATCCCGTTACCTCCTCTCCCGACTGGAACTCGTCCATGTTCCCGGCGGAGCCGCTCGCGCCGCCACCGACGCGCACCCCGTCACCCGCCGCTCGTACTGCGCCTGCGCGCCGAGCGCCCGACAGGGCTCGGGCTCCTACCCAGCGCCCTCCAAGATGGCGCTGTTGCCATAGCAACTGCGCCCGGGAGCCGGGCGGGGAGATGGCGTTCGGCGCTGCCGTGGGACCGCTGTGGCGCTGTCAAACATCCCAAAGCCTGGGGCTGAGAAACAGGGAGGTCGCTTGTCACGGCTGTGTTTTTCATACGGATAACTTACCTTTTGTGTTCAGTGATGCAAGAGGTCCCTCCCTGGAATTTCCTTTCCTCCTTTCCTCTTTCCCTGGGAGAGGAGATGGGTCTGCACCTTGTTTCTGGAAACAGACCTTCAAAACAAGGCCTTCATTTCAGAAAAATGAATTCATGTATGCCAAGGAACTGCAAAAAAATGCCCAAACATACAGAAAAACTCTCCCTGTCATTATCTCAACTCATGAGCCCTTCATTATATTTTCTCTCCCCTGTCCAGATGTGGAGGAGAGTAACAGAGCAGCTTTGGTAGACACTATGTCCAGCCAAGGTCAACCCACCACAGAAGAATATCTGATTTCTTACAATTCTAAGCAGATCACATTTTTTTTAGCACACAGAGTAAGAATCAGGACAATGAAATTAAAGGGCACACTTGTCACAGTTTATGGATTCCATGTGTGTGCAGTGTTTACAGATTGTCCAAATTACTGATGCTATCAGCCTCTTAGAGCTGCTCTAAGCAGTGGAAGATGCTGTTCAGGCTCAGAATGGCCTGGATGAACTGCAGAAATGGTCTGGATGAAGGAAGAAATAACTTACTGGGTGTGAGTGCAAAGGGCTATAGTGAGGCAGGAATACCCAGCTCTACAATTACAGACAGGGCAGGGTCAGCTCACTCAGTATATGTTCATAGACAATAGAGTAGGGGGTTGTTTAGGTACAATTTATCTCAATTTGTCATAAGGTCCTGTGGAAAAAAAAAAAAAGATGCCATCCTGGGACATCTAAACAGACACATAGCCTGCAGGATGTGGGAAGCAGCATTCCTGTTACCCTCTCTATAGTAAGGCTGCAGAAGGAATACTGTGTCCAGTTTTGGGCATTGTATCAAGAAGGCTGTTGGAGCTACAGCCCCATTAATGGGGCCTCAGCTGCCCTAATCAGTTTTGACCTTGTCTCCAACCCTGTGTCAGGCCCTGCCTCCTGTTCCTCCTGAAGAAGGAGACCCTGACCAGTCACCCCACTTTGGGGCTCTGTGGGCACCCTGCAGGCAGCACCAGCTCTGCCCATCTTACAGGGATACTGTGGGACTGTGGCTGGCTACTGAGCACACCCTCAGCCTCGCTCCAAGCCTTGTGCTGGAAGAAGAGACAGAAACATGAGGGCTATGGAAAGGCTGAATAAGTGGTGCTTGTTTGAACAAAAGCACAAAAGGCTATAATTTGGTTACATTCTTAGCATCTATAAAATACTGTGACAGTTTTCCACATCCAGGGATGTGGAGAAGGAAAAATACAGTGAGTTACATGTGTGGCAATTAAGGCTTTGTTGAAACATTAGGGGAAAGCTGGTGGTAGGGGTAATGCTCCTCAGCCTGGATTTGGCATGCTATTATTATGTTGCTGTGGGTAGCTAGAATCCTCAGGTTGGTTCTGGTCTTTCATTCAGTTAAACTTTTTACTGAAGTTAAGGCCCAAATTAACCAAATATGATGCATATATGCATAGTTCTGTGCCCCACTAACGGTTGCTTTCCTTCCATGATACAGCTGAAGAAGGTGATTAAACTTGACAAACACAGGTGGGAATGTTTGAACCCATTTAACTTCATGAGATTATACAAATGCAGGCTCTTAAACTTTGCCATGTGAGTAGAATTGCTGTGCTTTGTTTAATTTTAACTAGAAATAAGGAATCTTAAAATACCTGAAACACTAAGAGTGCTTCTGTGTTGTAAATACAGTTTGTTAGAGCCAAGAACAAGAAAGGAGATTGTCCTGTAAGAATAGCCTCTTTTGTTTGCCAGACTTTGAAATAATTGGGATGTAATTTTGAACTTCCTTACCCACACTTAGTTCTGTAATACACTGAATTGGGATATCCAATCCAAATAATATTTTAACTTTCAATTGTTACCTGAGATCAGATTTCCAACTGTGAGGTAAAATAACTTTCTTCTTTTTGCAGGTGCATAAAAATGAATTGTTTTGAATTTTTATCTATTCTAATTGCTCTTTTATAGAGACCTAAATAGAAAACTACTTTTGTTTCCAGGAAAGAACTGCTTATGATACAAAGTTACAAGTTTTCTGTGCAAGTCAGGGAGCCATTGAGGTTAGAAGCATTTTCACATCTATAGCATCAGAAAAAGAAACTATGTAGAACTCAAAGCCACTTCTCTTCCTGTGTATGGCTTGAAGACTGAGTACATTTTATCAGTCAGCTTTTGTGGTCTCATGTGCTGAGTTTCTTTTTAATGTTAGAAAAATTAATATCTTCTCCTTGCTTGTTGCTCGTAACAAAACCAGAGACTTGACAAAAGCTTTCGTAACATTAGAGCTCTTTGTTGAGTGCATTTACTTTTAGCTGTTCTGGAGATGCTTCTCTGAACATACATCAGTAATATCAGTGCCCAAAGGAAGGAAAGGGAGTGGAGAACTGACACCAGTTTTCTTTAAGAAAAGATAATTAAACAATAAGAGTGCTATTCATCTTTTAAAAGCAGTTTACTTCCATGTGTCTTTCTTTGGGGGCTGCTGAAAAGGTAAGCACATCGTTTTAATCTATTCTGTGTAATATTGCACAGAGGGATGCATTTTTACCTACTTGCATGATGTTTTTCAAACTGTGAAGGTATAACGGAAAAGCCACAACTGGAACTTAATTGTTTGTGTTGGGTTTTGTTGTTTATTTTTATTTTCACTTTTAAGTTCTGGGATGGGATGTTATCACAGATATAGTTTTGGTAAGGCATTATCAAAGGACTTATAAGTAATTTGCATGTGCACATGCAGGGAGGTGAAAATTAAACTGTTGCAGCCAGGTAGTACAGAATAACATCTGCAATTTTCTTAACTAAGAATAAACTTATGAGATTGGCCTCAGATGAATAGAAAATAGCCAAAAATTACAGTGGCTTTTGTGATCGTTTTTACCCTGAACCTTCTTAACCTGTGTCCTAGCTACTGATGTATTACATCTATTTTCTGGGTTAATGGATGAAGTAATCCAATTATCTCAAGTCAATGAAGACTGTCACTTTAGAAGATTAGTTTATTTATACTTATTTAATTGTCATTATTTTGCTAATGCTTAAGGATCTGAAAGGAGATCAATAATACATTACATGTAAAATTGCTTTGAGGAAAAGCTTGCTAAGCCAGGAATTTCTAAGTTTAAAAACTTAAAAAATAAGTTACCTTTTGCAAACTTAATCTTGTGTTAGATAGATCTTTTGATCGATCTTCAGTTACGTAACTATATGCTATTTTAGGCTGATATACAAGAAAAAAGGATATTTTTTTGAGATTGCACTCAGTGCATTCATGTCTCCTTCTCCTGAGGCATAGCCATGTTGGTTATTCCTTCTACCTTATATTGGCTTTGAGACTTCATATGATATTTTCAAAAAGCTACGGATCCATCTATAATTTAAAATAAAATGTAATAATAATAAACACGTAATTAACATATTTCCTTCAAGTATTATTTTAATGTGAACTTTGTGCTGAAAAGGAAGAATTGTCATGGTATTTACTGAAGAGGTTGTTGCTATTTTTGGTTTTATGTAGAAGATGCTCAGCTTTGAGGTTAGCTGACCACGTAAAACAACTAGCTAACTGGATTCAATGAGTAAACAAGAAAGAAGGGCATCTGCGAAGGTTTATAATGTTTTTCTTCCTGTCAAAGAGGGCCATTACTGAAGACACTTCTTTATTACTGCCAAAACCCTAATCTAATGCAGACAGCTTTGGTGTAAGAGAAAAGCTCTTCTTTTGCAGTGGTAGAGAGCTTTACAGTCCAATTTGAACACTTCTGTGGAATGATTACAAGTTCAAGTCTGTTGTGGGGCCAAGAATTATCTCCCATTTCAGGGGAAATGCTTTTATAATACTTTGTTTATTCTGAGAGCCAGATTTTAAGTTACCTTTGGATGTGCAAGAAAAATTGTCAGAACACAATGATTGCCAGAGCTGAAATCTTCATGGAGATTAAAAAACCAACAACTGTAGAAGTGTGCAGGTGCAATATTGCTAGAGCTGCTGGCTGCATGATGAATTTTAAGCTTTTTCTGCAGTGTGTGCTGACCTTGCCCAGCAGTGAGAGAGCCATGGTGGCTTTTCCCCTCTCTGCACAGGGCAAATGCTGCAGGATGGAGGGCCCTGGCACTTTGCTCTGCAGTAAATTTGTTCCATTGTTTAGTACCAGAAGATGATTCTAGTCTTTCCATCCTGCTCCCTGTTGGCATTAGATTCAGTGTTTGTGATTTATCACTATGAATAGGGTATGGAGTGTAACATATTAAATCAGCTGGTTTTGATGTTTGCAGTATCAACAAGAGGCTGAGATTGAATGCACTTCTGGAAAATCCTGCCCTGGCTAAGGCAGAAACTGTGTCTCCCAGGGGGAATAACTTTGAGCAAGACAAATTAGAAATAAGGGGAGGGTCTAAGCTCTTCCTTCCATCACAGTGTTAAAATCTGTGCAAGTTTGAATAGCTGAAACTAATGGTTTGTTTGTTTTGTGCATCTCTAAATAAAATTCTGTGTGTCCTCTGAAACTCATTTCTCAAAACAGTCTTGATATATGGAAAACTTTGTGCCCTGAAAGCAGTTGAAGGATGTAGGGGCCTTTGAAAGTGACGTACATTTGTGTTAAAAAATTGCTCAAGCTTTCTATGTTTCAAATGAGTAATTTCCTGTGAAATTGCAGTTGGTAAGGAAATAAAATATGATTATGCCTATCTCCGTCTCTTTTGTTTGCACAGGAAACCAATATCTTTTTTTTTTTTCCCCCCCTTTAACACTGCTTCTGTGAAATGCTTTCTCCTTTTGGTGTCTGAAGGGTTTTACAAAAAAAGAAAAAACACAACATACAGGAACAGAATGCTTGCTGTTTATAAATACATGTTATCACCTTCTGCTTTTTTTGGTGGGAAATTAGGTAACTATAAATTAAGTATTTGGAGCAAGCTGCATGTGAAGTAATTACCTGCACTGACAAAAATACATTGTCACTATATATATATACACATATGAAGTTTTAGTGGGTGAGGGTTTGTTTGTTTAGGTTTTCAGTTGTTTCTTTTTTTAAATTAAACTCAGTATTTTAAAATAATGCAATCAACATTGTGTCAGCAGTACAGGTGGTTGTTCAGATTCTCAGCTGAGGTCCATCAGTGAAACATCAGTAACTGCCTTGGGAAAGCTTTACCCTTCTGACCTAGCATCTAGACCCTTTTCCTGGAGCCTGACTGTGTGTATTTGCTCCAGATTAAGTTTGAAATGCTTAACCAGTTTTCATGTACACATCTTTAACATTTCGTGTACTGTAAGTAGAATTTTCTTACATTTCTTGTAATATGCACTAGATACCAGACAGTAGTATTGAAAATGAATGTGATGTGCAAGCTGGTTTGAATTGAATAACCATTCTCTCTCTTGGCTTTGCTGTGAAGTATATTAAAATTGTTTTATATTTTGGTGGAGGTTCTGCAAAAATGAAGATCACAGAGTACGTTCAAACTACAGTTGGGATTCTGTTTTAATTTTACACTTCTCATATGCTCGTACATGAACTTCTTCAGTTTGGGGCCAAAATTGTTAGTGCACTGAGATGAAAATAATAACTTTTTACTGTTTCAGTATATTAACAAAGAGAATAGCATTGTTTGCTATTAAACTGTTTATCTAGGCTTAAAAGACATAGGTAATTGATAAAAATGACTCTTAGAGATGTCTTTCCTCTTGGTTTTGTGATGTTTTGTCTTTTCAATAAAATGAGATTAGAAAGGGGTATTTTTTTCCTCAAAAATTTTGTCACAAGGACTATGACTTTTCCAGTCATGGGACCTGTAGGCCTGTGGTCAGAACTAACTTAAATTTTTTTATTGGTTATTTTATTTTAACTGTACAAAAAATGCAAAGATATGTGCCTGAGTGTTAATGGACGTTATGGTGAGACTCTTTGAAGAACAAGACTGTCTTAAAACCTCTCATGTGTCTGAATTAGTGTATGAAAGTTTTGAGTGTAGGAAAATGTGTTCTTCACATATTATTTAAATGTCTTGGAAAGAAGAGATAATAACATGTATTCTTCATTTCTTTCCTAGGTCCAGAAATCCCATATCTACAAAACCAAATAAAAAACCTCAAACGAGTCCCCTCACTCCTTTACACCATTTCTTGACATATTGTCCCTCCATCTGGAGGCAGTTAAAGCCCTGTCTGGGACATTGCTGCAAGCTCTCATCTCTTTTGGAACTACTTTCAGTGGGAAAAAAAATAAGAAAAGAACAGGAAGTTTAAGGACATGAAAAAGTCAAGATTGCTGTGACCTTGATAACTGTTCATATTCCCTGGTTTGCAGAGACATCTAAGTGATGGTTTGTGTGAAGACAGACACAGTCATTTTTCTCTTCAAGGGCATGACACAGTGGAACACATCACCAATTGAGTAAGAGCACAGGCACTTAGTTAACACCCAGACCATTGTTCTGGATATACTAGAACCCATAGGATAGGAGTCTACAGAACAAGTGAAATTTGGAGAAAATGGCCTGTGAATTTAATTTGAACTTCCTTAAGGAATTGGAGCGAGAGGCTGTTTTGGAAGTCTTGTACCGTGATGAGATGGTGAGAAAAACAGAAGAGGAAAGAATAAGGTATGTACTCCTCCCCTATTCCTGTATTCTGTTCCTTTTTTTTTCTGAAGTACTGTTATTCTACTTTGTCCTTCCAAATGTACTCCTTTTTTTAACTTCTTGTTACCTAATGCTTTTTTATTCTTTGGGAAAACCAAGGATTATCCAGAGCCTCTTGAGTTTACCATTCCATTGACTCTACATTAAAGATGAGCAAATACTGTTCTGTGAATAACGTACTGGATTAATTTTACTTTCAGCCTTCATAGAAAGTTCAGTTACTGCCTGTACTTTTTCTATGAAGGCCTTATGGCATTCTTGCCATGTTCCTATGTATGCATATATAGTTCTAGTAACACAGAACATGTTCAGATCTTTGGCTGGATTATTTAACTTAAGTTGTGCCAATACTGGAGTTAAGAATTATTGGATACCTGCTCATTGTGCTAAATCCATCACTGTCCCTTCTCACACACAACAGGTGGCAAGCACACAGTGCTGTTTCAGAGGTTGTTACTAATGTCAGTAGGTGCCATTTGTTAGGAAAAGGATTTTATTAAATAACTTCACATTGTGCAAGTATCTCAGTTGGAGAGGATAAAGGATATTTCTCCAGCACTTTTTTTGCTTTATATCGTGGCTAGGACAAGGATTTCCTTGAAGCTTGTACCCTTCTTTGTGACATTTCATCCCCATGTAAACAAGGTATTTGTGTGGATAAGATATAATTTTTTAGTGTCTTAAATGTGGAAACTTAAACTTTGTTTACAATGAATAGTTGTGTAAGTATTACTGGACATAATAAATGAAAACAATTAAGTGAAAAGTAAGTAAAGGGTTATATAGAAAATCTGAACTGATCAGAAAATCCCTTTCAATTGTTGGTGGTGTTAGTAACAGAAAAAAATATAGATCTTGATTATTCATACATGTAATGGAAGCAAAGTTAATGAAAAGGAGAGGTTTTGATCTTTTGGACCAGTGTAGTTTTTTATTTAGCTTTCAGATGATGCATTTGTTATGAGTATTTTTACTTGATAGAAGATCTGATTCTTGAGTAAATATGATAAAAAAAAAAAATCAAATGAAAGGGAGCACCATTTAGTCTCAGTTTTTGTAGATCAATGCGTAATCACCTGCATACATGATTTCAATGCCCTGCTTTGAGAACGCCTAACATGATCAGAACCCCATTTATACTAAATTATTTCTCTGTTAGTATGCACAATTCTTGTCACATGCAGTCACACTGCAAAAATGCTGTGTGTGGATGCCTTCAGACAGTGCTCAACTGGGGTCACACTTGAGGGCCTATCTCCCACTAGTAATGGTATTGCACAACCAGGGTATTAGTTCACTTTCATGAGGATTTTGGTCTATTTAATTTTTTAAATTTTTCTTTTTTCTTTCTTTTTACCTGGGGGGTTAGGAAACTGAAACTGCATCTACAGCAGCTTCGGTGGAAAGGGGCAAAAAATGTAAGCCATGAATATCAGGAGAGATCTTGTGCTCGCTGTCAGAAATCTCTCGGGTTGTTGCTGAACAGAGGGGCAGTATGCAATGGCTGCAGTCATCGAGTATGCTCTGAATGCCGTGTCTGCCTGAATCCCTGCCTTTGGAAATGCACCATTTGTTACGCTCATGGGTAAGAAACTTCACTGGTTTGGATAAGTGCTGTTTTACACTGGTCATCCAATGGATGCCCACTGGTTCTGTGCATCTGTTGCTTAAACAATTAGTGAAACAAAGCCTCTGGCGTAATGAAAATGTTGGCTGGAGTCCTGGTAGCAATGAAATTGTGGGAACTTTATGCTATACTTCACATAGTCAGGATTCCCTTTCCTGTGTTCAGCAAAATGGATCTTCAAGGTAAGCCAGAGGTAGTGGGGCAAAGACAATAGCAGCAAAGCGTAGCAACAGTCTAAACCATAGAGAGAACTCCTTCCCCTGACTCAATATTGAACCAGTGCATCCTAACAAGCTGCTGAAGGTGCTGTGCTTTGTAGTATAGCCAATTTCTCGACAATTTCCTAATCATTATTTTCTGCCTTTTACTACAGGAGTGAGGAACCTGGATTGATAAATACTAAGTAGTCATGTTTTATAAAAATTTAAAAAGCAAAAAACACTATTAGGATTTTCTGTTACTATATCATCTTAGTTCTGTTTTGCAGGATACAGAAAACAATCTTTCTTTTACTATATTGGTACAATTTTTATATCAAGATATTCCTTCACAGTCCATTCTATTTCTTAGAATCTTTCTAAACCAAATAATTTAGAATATTTCCACATTTGATGAAAAATAATATATAGGCAAAGAATGATAGTTTTGGAAATTAATCAAAAGCTGTGCTGGATGATATATATTCCTGTACAAAGGGTGAGGATTTGGATGAAAATTTACTTTATGCCAACACAAGATTAATCCACCACCTCACTCTCTCTGAAGGTGGAAAAATGGGAAATATAAGGCAAGGTACTGGTCTTAAACTACAGTTTGGAAGAGAGTTATAGTTTATAAAAAGATAGCTCAGTATTCCCTGATAGCTGCCCCAAGTTCTGCTTGGAACCATGTCCTCTACCATTGACGTTCCCTGCTTCTCAGAGTAGGCTGCAGCTGTAAGCAGTCAGGATGCCAGGCAGCACAAGTACCTGGGCTGTGTTGCAAGTTGATTGTATAGACTGGAATGGAGCTGGGACTCCTGGCTTCAGAGTAATGCCTAGAGCAGTATGTATCATTTTCCACGGGCAGTCCTACATTGCAGAAAGGAAAACAAAACAGAAGAACCTCAAAACTAAAACAACTCCCTCCCAGGGATTCCTCCCCTCTGTTTTTTTCAGACACACAGCAAAATTGGTCAATGGATTGAGCAGTCAAGAAATCTTAGTTTTATAGTAGGATTGAAAAAGGTTTTTGTATTGTTAAATAGTTACCAAACATTTGAAGAAAGGCACCTGGGAACATGATGATTCAAATATCTTTTCATTGTTTTTCAGAGATGTTAAAGTAAAGGCTGGTGAATGGTTCTTTGAGGAACGAGCAAAGAAATATCCAGGTGAAGGTAATCACTGGAATAGACCATAAGCTGCTGTGTAATATGTAATCATCATCTAAGTGAAACACAGAATGTAGTCTGCCACTGTGTTTTTCTTCCATTTGATGAGAGATGTGTCAAAAATTGCCATTCAGTGCATCTGTCTGTGCACTAAATAAAACATGAACACAAACCAGCAGGATGCATTTTAAAGTATAACTTATTTTGTTTGAGTAATAAGAAAATTGCTGGCCATGTCACTTCTAAGACTTCTAAGAAATACAATGACATAAAATAAATATAGAAATGTTAAAGTATAGATTCAGGAAGGAAATGATCTTGCATCCATCATTTGTCAAAGTTAAAACTTCAGTTGTTTTCACTGAGAAAGTTCTAAAGCTGAAAGAAATGATGGAATGGAAGAATGAAAAACATATATAGCTATAAATCAACAGAGAGCTAAACACTTACTGTTTTGTTACTTTCAGGCAGCTGTGCCATTGCCTTGCGTTCAGTCTTTTCAGTGCCATCAAAAGTACAAAGCCTTAAAAGAAATTATAGAGGATGTGGATGGATCGCTCCCTGGGGAATGTGTTTTGCCAGCCAAGGGGGTGTTAGTTTTTGTTTCACCTACAATAACTGGTGAAGTGGAGAGGATTTCTTTCCTCTTTCCCTTGAACTGCCACTTCAGATATTCAGCTGTTTTATTTTGTGCCTGAACATAGTCAAATGATAGAGTTTCACTTCCAGTATCTGCATTACATCTAGATTTAAGAGTAGCTGGAGAAAAGGAAGGAACTGGGCTTTAAATATGTCTTGGGAAACTTGAATAGGAAGAATTTTATAAGTGTAAGAACGTAATCAGTCGTTTTGGGTAGTAGGTGTTCACGAAAGACAGCAAGTAGCATATTAAGAAACTAAACTACAGCTCCTGCTAATAAAATTAATTTCAAATTTGAAAGATTTCACTGTAGTCCATTCTAGGTAAGACAATTTCTGATTTTAACGTATTAATTGGCTGATCTTTAAAACCACAATTTTATCCAATTACCGTTATTAGTAATTTCCCCTCGATCTTTTCAGTGAGTCTAAAGCTGGTAATTTTATCAATCTCTCTGTTATTGAAGGTACTGACTGTCTCTTTTTCCAGCAAAATAAATGAGTTCTCACTTTGAATTATCAAAGCTTTGTGGGTGCTTGAAGCATTTTGCTTAGTTATACTGTTGAAGTCACAAATATCTAAAGATATACAGAAGATAAACCTGCAGGGAGAAATATGTTTTGTTTAGTTTCTTTGATTAGACCAACTGATATAATTAAAGAGGTTCGAAAATGGCATACTAAAACACAACAGCCGTTGTGTATCCTTCAATCCTGGAGAGACAGTGCCCTCTTTTGGTTTGAAAATACAGCGTAACTGAAGTGTTCACTGGAAAGTAAGTTTAACTGAAAAAAATTACATGTTACAGTGAAATTTTCTCATGTTACAGACTAAAATAACCCAAAGAGTGACATCAGTATGCTTTTATTAATTTTTTGGTAGCTTCTACCTAAAGAATAAGATCAATATTTTCGTAAAAGTGGTATATTGCCTTTAATGGCTAATAAATTTAAAATCTAAGATAGTAAATATTACTTATTAATAATAGAGCATGAATAATGGAGTCCTGATTGAAAGATGTAATATTGATGAGCTTACTATTATTTCTATCACCACTGAGGTCTACTACTTTTATGTAAGCGATGTTATAGTTAATGTTATAGTTAATACCATCTTTAGCAAAACATGGATTATGTGCTGCCTAATAATTAGGAATTATTAGTAATTAAAGATACTCCAGATAATTTCAGTTGGTCATTTGTAACATGCTTTTAGCCATTTTTTGTGTTTGTGATCACCTGGGAACAAACTAGTTTTATGAGTCTTCATTCTTTGTGCCTGATGAAGCACTTGCTCCTTGGTGTTCTTTACACCATGTGGCTGCTCACCTGAGGAATGTGACATGGTTGTTATTTCCCTGCAGGAATAGTCTTAACAGAGGGGTTTGTTCATGTTTGTGAGCTAGTCAAGCATTTTTATGGGTGTTCAGGTCTCTTGTAAGAAAAGTGAGAGGAATTTTTCATAAGATGCAAGAGATGACCATGTGCCTGCTCTTATAGACATTTCTAAGCTTTCTTTAGTGTTTGAGTTTTATGGCTGAAGTGTGTTTTAGTGCAGTGGGCCGGTGCACTACCTGCCTCTTGGACGTCAGGAGGCTGAGAGCACTTAGCAACCTGTAGGAATGGGTCTGTTAGCATCTGTATGTGATTGTCCTTAGCATTTGTGAAGAGTCAGTCTGAATGTGTCACCCGTGAGAGGTGAAATCACCATAGTTTGTGACACAGGAGAAACTTGTGTTGCTTGGCATGTATGCTAATGCATTAGGTGGGAATTGATTTCACTCCTGACTTATATGTGCATGAGTTTCTGTGAATACAGGCCAGTTCCTGAAAGGCACTGATTTTAAAAAGTGTTATATTGGCATTAGTAACTGCTGTTGTTGCTAAATGACCTTTGGATTTTTTTTCCTCCTTCACAGGCAGACATGAAACAGTTGGTGCAAAGCTCTTGAAATCTTATCAGAAACTGAGGTAATACTCAAAAGGACAAATGGTCCTAGGACACTGAGAATTTGTATAGGTGATATATTTTATGTTATAAACTAGCCAACAGTTTGTATTTTTTTATTATGAAAAACAAAATTCAACACTTTTGGAGTACAAATGACAAAAATGTAGAAAAATTTTCACTTTTATCTGTCAGCAATCCATAGAAAAGATCTCAAGTACAACAGAGTACTATGTTTGGAGTAATAGTGTCTTCCTTGAAATGAAGGAGTGTCCATTATTTTTATGTGCTTATATTTTTTACATAACTGTTTATACCATTATCTGTTAAATTTGCACAATACTTTTAAATAATCATAGATGAACACTATTTACTAGTTGTCATAATAGCACCATTATTGATTCAATGGGAGATATTGCTGATATGATAGTTTTAGAATAAATAGTAGACAGGAAACTCTGTATTCAATTAGACATTTCTACTAACCAAACTTTTAAAAAGTAAAAAGTCTAATTTACAGTGAATAAATACTTTGACTAGAGACTAAAGCATGCCCATACTTAAGCTATTACCAGTGTTTGAACAGTCTGCTTAAACTATATGGTATTAAAGTAACCCTCTTCCTTAAAACACAATACCCAACCACAACAACAAAAAGAACCATCAAAAATAAAACTATTGAACCAAACCCCCTCCTCCCCCCAAAATCCCACTTAAAGTAAGATATATAGAGATGGTCTCAATTTATTATAATTATCTGGCTAGGCATAGCTGCATAAGACAGAAACTTATAGTCAGCTAGATAAGATCCTAACCAGAGCTTGCTTTTACGTAGATGTGGTAAAACTAAAAGAGAATCAAAAAGGAAGTTTACCAGCTGCCTTGAGATCTGTGATTGTGCTGTGATAACAGAATCAGTCAGATAACAGATTCTTTTTCACAGACCAGCACTATTTACCACAGATGGAATGGTAGGAATGTTGTAAAGGTCCTCTAACAGCTCTGGACTCAGACAAGGAAGGATCCTTTCATTATTGTAAAGAAAGATGACTATTTTCTGAAAACATTTCTGAAATAGAAATGGGGTGTGTTATACAGGAATTGTGTTTTAGAACTCAGAACACAGATTGTAATACTGCCAGCTGTATAGAAGTTTAGGGAGTCTGTCCTAAATTAGGTCTTCCTGGTAGTTCTAATTCAATAATTTTACCTAGATCAGCCCACAGTTAAGAAGATAGAAAGGTAGACCTAATTTTTAAGAACAGGCAACAAACCTCTGCTGCAACCCTTAAAGACACAGGATGTCAATTCAGATTTTTAAAGAGTACAGGAAAGACCATATAATAAAGATACTGTGCATGGGCATGGTTTATTTATCCGTCTATTGGCATAATACATTAAATGTTGTTAACTGTTAATCTCTTCTAGTAAAATTTCTGTCGTACCTCCAACTCCACCTCCTTTCACAGAATCAACAGCAGGAATCAATGTGATGGTAAATGTACGTATCCGCAAAATATACATATACATACTCACCTCGTAGAGTTTTATTCATGTGTAAATGCCAGTCACAGAAACATAGTAAACAACAACTGCTATAACATCACACTGCCGTATAAATGATGCCTTATGTTCTTTGCCATTATTTTTATGCTGTGTTGGTACTAGGAGAGAAAGATTAGAGGCTATGAGGGCTGTTTTCAATTAGTTTTCAGTTTTTGAGGGAAGTGTTCAACCACTCTTCTTGACACTGGAATACTGCATATGGTTTTTGGTGCCTCACTATTGGAAGACTGGACTGGGATCTCCTGAGCTCCCCTCAAACCTGGAAGGGATCCCATGTTCCTAAGATATTCAATAGTTATTTATAAAATGACCATTTCATGTGTCACTTTCATTATTGAGTGAAGAACAGTGAATTTGATGGTTGCCTTTGCATTACAGTTTCTAGTGGACAGAATAGTAGGACATGGCTCAGAACGCATAAAAGTTGCACTGAATTAATATTTGAGTTCATTTTGGACTGGATCCTCAGGTCTGTTTTTTAAGCCCATTGCAGTTCTGTAAACAGTCTTATGTGCATACCTGGAGTTTGACAAAACTTTGATTCAGAGGCGCAGGAACATCTGTAATAGATAAAAGTATTAACTACATTACAACAAACTGGTGATGTAATTAGCTGTATTTATGAAATTGCTGTGTGATCTTTCTACAAGGAGTTCCACTTATATGTCAAAGACTATGGAACTGGAAAGATTACTTTCCATCTTCAACAGCTGACAGTTTTCAACTACGCCTGTGTATGTCCTCAGATATATTTTTCTACAGAAGTGAGCAAAGGGCTGCAGCCTTACCCTCTGATATAATCACAGAAACTTTAAAATTATAAATGTTGTGTTTTCTTACTCATGGTATCTCCCATTTGCAGGAACTTGGAGAGTCTAAAAGGTTTAATAAATCTGTGGAAAACTTGTTTTTGTCTCTCACAACACACATAAAAAGTAAGTAGCTTTCACTGTTTTGTCATTCTATAGTAATGAAGTCAAATGTTTCAATTCTTTGGCCACAGTGTTGGCCAAGAAATAGTTATAAAACAAGGATATTGAGTAATGGCTGAAATGATTAATGCTAAGGCTATGCCAACCTGAAAAATAATATAGTAAATCTAATTCTCCTTCAGTATTCTGCTAGTTTTTAAATTTGCTGATTATATCAACCCAGAATGGCCTTCCTGTAAAGATGGAAAAGACTATGGTATACAATCTTTAAGTTTACCAGGTTTTCAGATGCAGTGTATTTAACTCATGTTAGCACCGAGTAATAACCAATTTCTGCTGTACTGATCTTCATATTTTCTGTCTGACTGAACCACAACTGACTGTCAAAGAGTCTGTTATTTAATGGAAGTAGAGTTTAATATTTTCATTTACTGGCAGTTTTCATGAGGACTTCCTTCCTCTTTCTCAGTCTGTCTAGTTGAGTGGGTTTTTTGCAGTGCATATTTCTAGGTGCCGTCCAGTCCCAACAACTCCTCTTTCATTCTGATACTTTTGGTTCCTTGCATTCTCTTATGCTGCTTGTTCCTTGGGCTGCAGACTGTGTGTGCACCTCTAAGACTAATTACACTAAGGACAGCCAGGCGGTGTGAAAAACAAAGGCATCAATGACCAGAGGAAAACCACTTCTGAGCCTTAGGAAGATTACAGAGGTTTGCAAATTTGCATGTATTTGAACAAACCTTAATATTTTCTTACTGGCTTCAATTTAGACAACCCCACATGTGAAACCAGACCTGAATAAAACTGGTTTTAGTGCCTTTCTGCCTTTCCCCCTAACCTCTTGCCTTACCTCTTGTTTGGTCTTTCCTTTAGCTTCTTCTACCCACCCTAATGGCCTGTTTTCCTTTAACTATGCAAATTCAATGTTGCATCTGCGTGAACACATATTAAAGCCATGCAGAGGCACAGTGACTGTTGTTCCACACAGAAAAATATAGGGTAGCATAGGACACTATTACTGGAAGCAGATAGATGAGGCAGCACTGAACTGGGTGCAAAGTAATTTATCCAGCTTTCTGATAGTTTGAAGCCTGGTCATATCCCACAGTTACTGGTAAAGACTGTCAGGACTGCAGCAAGCTAATTTATTAGTTCACTACTACCAAATGGAAGATCCTCCTCCACTCACATCTTTTTCTTCTTTCCCTATTTCTAACCTTATGCTGCTGTGACTTGAATTAGCACTGGTGTTTCTGGACCCCTCTGGAAACTGGTTTAGCTAATTTTAAGGGCATAACATTAACCTGGATAAAACTTATAGATACTTTTCTGCTGTTTTAGTGAGTTCAATAGGCTCAAGGTAGGGTATATGTGTTGGAACATGTACAGTGGAGGGTACCATGTGGTCAGGAGCCAGGGATTGAGGAGGGAAGAGCAGTGGTTGAAGAGGGAGATGGCAGCTAGTTGTTAGATCAGCTCAGTTGTGTGAGAAACCCCATGCAGGTGATATCATCCTCTGTTAGGGTAGAGTGGTTCAATTTGTGAGAAAATAACAGGCTATTGCAATCACTGAAGTCAATAATTAAAAAGCATTGGAAGTCATACAAAGAGAAAGAATTGGATTTCTTAAGAAACCAGCTTTTTCAGACAATATGGCCTCCAGTGAAGCCTGGTGCTGTGCTGATAAAAGCTTTTGGTCACATGTGTCTAAAGTTAGTACTCTGTATCTTATCTAGATAAAAATGTCCTGGTTTCCTGGTTTGCAGAGGTATTTAATACATCCCGCTCCTGTGCACTGAAGTAAATAAACACGGAGAACTTTGTTATGCCTCTGATTCTATCACTGGAGCTGGTGTGTGTGTGAGAGCAGTGGGAACAAAGGATTAGCGCGTGAAGCACAGAACAGCCATTGTACAGTCTGCTCTTTACGCTGTTACCTCCTGTTCCAGTGTGGCTTGGCAGCAACAGGAGATTATAATCCAATGGTTGCCGTTTGGTGAATGTAGAATAAGTTACTGGCTGTAGTTCTATTTGCAGTAAAAAGCCACCCTTGGCTCTAGAGATAGTGCCCATCTTTGCTGACGTTTGGGTAGAGAAGCCAAAGGAGGAATAGATATGAAAACTGAACATTCATGTTTCTCACAATAACCTGTTCTGTAACCTGTTCATTTTAGGAGAGTGTGAGGCAAACTGGTGTTTCTGCTTTGACTCCTGCTCAAGATATTCAGATTGTATCTATTCCATTAGAACTCTCACTCTCTTTTATGATCTCTGATTTCACTGTGTATTTTAAAAATCGGGTTTCATTTACGGGGGTGGCTTAATTGAGCCTGCATTTGAATAGGTCACATGGTTCCTTAATGATGTACAAAGAGTACAGTAAACATCTGAGGACTGATTGCTGCTAAGAACAAAACCACCCCAGAGTGTCTTTTTAAAATCACACTTGAGTCCCATTGTTTTTCAATACCATCACTGTCATATTGTCTACTGTGTGAGAGGTTTCTCCACAGAGGTTCATGTTGTGAGAAAAGTATTTATTTCTTCTGTATGAATTAAACATATGATAGTCTCTCATGAAGAATTAATAACTTTTAAGTGGTACATGAAATAGCTATCTGGGATTAGCAACAAAGTGTCTGCAGCTAAACCTGCTATTTTAGACTTCAGAAATCATGGATGAGTGCTGCCCTTTCCTTTAAGTGAAATTCTGAATGTACACTGAGGAATAAGAAGTGAAAAGTGGTGCATTAAATGTCCAATTGTCCTGTAGATTTATTTGACAATAAACTAGATGTTACTGAAGCGCTAATTCAATAAGGTACTTAAGTACTGCTAAGCTTATCCGTATGAGTAATGTTATTGAAGTCAGTGGGGGCTAGTCATGTTCTTAAAATTATATGTGGTTTGGGAACAGAGTATGTGTCTCCTTTCATACATATTTTGGATAAATTTCTAAATATTTTCCAATGTGCTCTGCTTTCTGATTTTCATTGTCATATTGCTTTATGTTGTTATAATGATCTTGCTTTTATCCTGAACCAAACCAAACCACTTTACAAATCAAACTATGCGTACGGACTTTAGTAGCTACTTCTGCAAGGAAACTGTATTTGATGGCAGTAGTTCTGATGATAGGCAACAAAGAGTATAATTTCCAGTTGAAATAGCAGGAAAGATTTAGGCAGGAAAAGTATAAATGTATAAAATGTGACAAGCATTTGTCTTCCCATCTGTTTCTTACTCTTAGGAGATCAACACTAAAGTTGCAGGATAAAAGTTTGAAAGCTACAAAATTAGCCTATAAATCTACAGGATTGCTTGTAAAGTTTGTTATAGTGACTTTTCTCTTTATTTTCACTTCAGAAATCTCAAAGTCTCAGAATGATATGACTGACAGATGTGTCCTAACCACAGACTTTGGGAAGAATGTGGAAAGAAGGTGGCAAAGAAGGAGCCAGTCTGACACTGCCATCAACATTACAAGCAAGGTATCCATATTATTATACACTGTCTCGAACTGTAAGAGCTGTTTCATGAATGAAATATATTTGTGAGAGCAATGACTTATACAGTGGAATTTTACTTTTATTGTATGAACAGAACTTAGCTGATGTTCGCTGACCATGATCAGAACTCCGATTCTCCACAGGGTTTTTGACAGAGTCTGCACAATTGATTTCAGTCCAGAGTTGAAATGTTAGACTGAGATTTTTACAAAGACCCTCATATAGAGAGGGAGGGGACGGGTCATTTTGCTCTCAAGTGTTCACAGGCTCTCTTGAGGCTGATTTGATGTCTGCTCTATGTGATTGTTGAGCTGCAGGGATGTACTCTGTCTTGCCCTCTTCCTGCCCCTTTTGCTGCTGAACAGGACCAAGCTATGACCATCCCAAAACCATCCTGGCAATCTTTGAGCATTTTTTTACTTGGCAGGGAGAAAACATTGCTGTTAGTTGCTGTGCAACTTCCTCTTTCCTTTTGCTTTGGTTACAGTCTCTAACTTTCAGTGTTTTCTTGAGAAGTTTGAGAAAAATCCAGTCATCTGTTTTTCCACAAATTGTGCAGGGCTGAAGATGATGTCACGCTTCTGCTTTAAAGTTACACTGAAGATTTTGTTGTGTACGCTTTGAGCTCTCAAGTGACTGAACTTTGTCCACACTCAGTTTTCCACATAGTGGGTACTTACTGAATTGCCTTGTTCATCTGAATGAGGTAAATGTGGTCTGCTAAGTGCCTGAATTAGATGCTGAGAAAAGCTCTTGCTTTGGGCCAGACCTCCTGGCACACATTACTCACAGCTCCCTTGGTGCACATTGTTCACTTTCCTCTGAAGTGTCAGGTGCTGTTAAATGGAAGAGACAGGATGTCAAACTGCATGGACTGGCAGTCTGAATTGGCCCAGCAAGGTCTGTGAACTCTGTGAAATTAGTTCTGGTATTTTTGTATGAAATTAAATTATGAACAGAATTGGTGACAATTATTGGTTACTGGAGTGCTGCTTTCATTGTGGCAAGCCGCATTTCAGTGTTAACTTTATTCCACAGGCAGAGCATTGCTCTCTTAATGCATTGAAAAGCATCGGAGTTGGAGATAATGTGGATTTCAACTATGCTACATCACACACTGATCACAAAAAATCTGTCATGTTTAAAAGATGGATATGGACTCTTTGGCTTAAGAAATGTATTAGTAGAAGATTCCAAATTATTTATGTGGGGTTTTAATCGCCCATTTAAAGATTTAGGACTTAATTTATGTCCACACTTTGCATTACAGGTTTTGAAAGATAGATTTCAATGTTGTTTGTGTGCCAGAGCACTTTCTCTGAGCCAGGAACCTTTTGTTTCATTTAAACCAGTTAGAGTATCCTTAAGCTAGAATTTTAATTTTACTAGAATTACTGTTGATTTTTTTTTTTGTAAACGTAATTTTTGACATTTTAGTTTTTTCATGTTGAAGGAAATTTTACTCTTCTCTTCCCACACTTATATGATGACTTTTTGTATTGTTACTGTGAGTTTAAAAACTACTTTTAGTTTCTGTCAATGGCACTATTCATTATTCTTCAATTTATTTTTTTTCTTTCCCATCTTTGTTTTTCTTTAGTAAGGGTAGTTGTTTATATCCCTACTAGAATTATACTTTAAGTTATGGGACAGAACATCTTTTAAATTACACTTGCAAAACAACTAATTACAGTTATAATGAAATATGATGTAGAAATCTTATTTGTGATTTCCACACCAGAGAGAACTTTTCATTATCAGAGACTGAATCAAAACAGTGATTTTTTTCCCCCTGGAAAGTGTGTATTTTTCTCTTGGGAATGACCGTAAAGTAATAGCTGAATGTGCAGTATATAAAACTGGGGCACTACTTCAGTCTCAAGAACACTATCTGTTTCTTAGATAAGTTTTCTAGATTTGTGATGTGTTCAGAGCTTGATTCTTTCAGATTAAAGATATTATTTTTAACCTCAGTATTAAGTGAGAAAACTCCAATGCAATAGCAAAAACCACCAGCCAGTGTAAAATCTGGATTTGGGAAGTTAATTGAATAGTGTTTTCAAGGGCCTCTTGTCATCAGAATCTCTAAGTTTATTAAGGGAACTGCAATTGTACCTGCCTTCCTGGGGGAACAAGCAAGCATGTGCAACGTGTGGAAGCTGTTTGTGGTGCATTGGTAGCTGTGGGATACCTCTCCTGTGACATTAGAGCTGGGCTACGGGAGAGTCTTGCTTGTGTGACCTGATGCTAAGTTTAGCACTGGTAGTTATGGTGCCTTGTCAGTCACTTATTGTCTGTATTACACAACCGAAGTCTTCCTGATACAAGTAGAAGCTAAAATTCAGTGTGTAGTAGGCTGTTGTGTTCAGCAAATTAAATCTGTGGTGGTTTAGGTTTTATAAGGCAGGAGGCAATTTCTGCGCTGGGAAATACACTATTTTGGTTTTGTTTGGGGTTTTTGAGACTATATTCTCAATGCATTTTCTGTCTCTTTCCCTCTCACAAGGGAACATAATTCTTACATCTCTTCTTAAGGTCAGGCAGTTATTACACATAACAGTATCTGCGTGTCATCATTACAGCATTATGGTTAGGATTTTGCACATCCTGTTTTTTTCAGAAGTAATCTCAATATATTATCTCATCTGTTGTCCTCATTCTTTAGTGCTTTCTGCTGACCGTGCAGTAGGGGCTCTCAGGTTTGTTAAGTATATATTACCTGTTTCATTTATACAAAAAAGTACCAATTCTTTTTGTTGATTTTAGTCAGATTGTATTCTTTCTAGTCTTTCAGGTAACCTCTGTTACACAATTTGAAAAAGAAATTATTTTCTTATATCCTAACCATATAAAATTTCTCACCTCACTCTTTTTGGACCCACTGAGCTGTGAACATGTTTTTCATAGATTGTATTATCCAGGGAAAGTGGTGTGCCGGAATGAGCTAAAATCTAATTTCAGCATATTTCTAGCCATATGTATTAATCTTTTGGCACTTCTTTCTATTAACTGTTGTTCTGCATAACAGAGGCGGCTGAAGAAAAATCTCAAGGAGTTTTGCTATATCTATCTATCTATCTCAATTTTTCTCAAATTATCAGAGTTTTCATGGAAATATTGGAAAGGTGAATGGACATAGTTAAAGCAAAGTCAAGAACACCTTAGAAATTTAAGCTTTTTCTATAAACAAAGTTAAGTATGAACTTGTCTTTTTCTATTTTCAAGTCCCTTTCAACGTACATTCATTCTTGCATAGGTAAACATGGGTATGTGTCATACATATTGCAAAATACTATTTTTCATTTCCTGGAGGCAAGATTATTGTTTTTCTTCCAAAATTACTGTTTTGTTAAGGGCTAATAAGGCCTTTTATTAGTATATTACTACTTTTGGTGTATTATTAGTAGACTGTTGTTAATAATTGCTGTGGTAGTGATCATTACATTAGCTAGTGGTATGCTGATTTTAGAAAATTATTAATATAGTGAATGTACTACTAGCTAGAAGGAGAGAGTTATAAATCAACATTTAAGTTACTACATTATCTTTGAAAGTGTGTCACCTGCATGACCTTGATCAGAGTCAACTGTAGCTATTTACTGCATTTTCTTTTGATAGCTTTCCTGAAGGAACCAGGACATTTTCTTTATCTTAAAAAAAACTACTTTCTGAATTTCTTACAGATGAAAAGTACACCCAGTCTGCAACAGCTCATCACTGGGACCCAAAATGACAGTGAAATTCTGACAAAAAGTAGTTGCAAGGAGGAAGAAGACATAACAACCAGTTCCACAAGTGATACAGTTTTCTGTGATGGCAGAAAACATGTAAGTTAAAGGATGAAAGACATAGAACAGGTGCTTAAAGGGAACAAATACAAAAGCTTGTGCAAAATGTTGGTGTATTTTAGATTATATTACAAAATGAAGGAAGAATTTTATTTGACTTTGTATCTGATGAAAGACTGACTGTCTTTGGCATGGTCCTCATAGTAACACTGTGAACTTTCTGAAGCATAAGCCAAATCAAATTAATAATGGATAATTGATAGGTGGATACATCGATTAATAATTAATAGTTTATAAAGCGGCTTCTTCTGAATTTTGCAAATGCAACTAACATTCTTCCCAATTTGTATTAAGGTTGGGATTACGAACACAGTACTTTCTAATCTAATAGTTAGCTTTTTGTCTTCAAGCTTCATTTAACAGAAGGGTTTTGTCAGTCTGCAAGAACAGTGGTATTGCAAATGTCAGTGGAAATTCAAATGTCAGAATGTCAGTGAACGAGAGGAAACTGACAGTGATGGAAGCCAGGGGAGCAGTTCATAGGCTTAGGGCATGATATTGAATCATCCTCTGATAGATGGCATTTTGAATACTGCAGATGAGAGAGAGGGAAACTGGTTATAAATGAATTCAGCACATGCTTTAAAGCCCCTATGATTAACTGTGGAAGCTAATTTCTATGTATTAGTGACAAGGTTAAGCAGGGTGAAGTATCCAAAGAATTCATGACTGACCTTGTAAAATGATTTAGGGAATCAAAATTAAACCAACCTGCTGGCTTTACAGAGAAGTATAAACACACACAGGGACCTTGGTGCTCTCTGACAGTTTACTGCACTGTGGAGTCTGAGGTGTTAAGCTGACAAATGGGTAATAACTTGTGGATTACATTTCTGATGCTATAGACCATTTGAACTGGTCTATAAATGGTTCGGACTTAAAAATGTAATATTTTCTACTATCTTATAAGAGGGGACAAATTCCATTAAGCTTCTCTTTATGGATAAGTGCTGGATGTTGAAGGCCACTCCATAAAAATGTATCTTCCAAAATATCAGATGGCATTGCTTCTAGTCATGCCACCAGAAGTACAATACATGAAGTCATTGCTAAATCCCTGTTCGCTGAACAAAAAGGATGATGACTTCTACACTGAATGTATGTGACACCTGAGCAGGTAGGAGAGGTGTGGTGATATTCAGTCCAGAACACCTATCCAGCCTTTCTAAATAAATAAGGTGTTCTGTGGAATAAATATTAGGGACTTTCGCAGAACCTTTTTTTAGGACATGAGCTAAGACAAAATTCTTTGTATTCCATTACCATAAACGATTTTGGTGGAAAATAATAATTTTCTGGTCAAGTGAATAAAAATATGTCAGTGAGTGAAAGAGCAGAGCGAAACAAAGCTGCAAAGGAGATTGATCACACTGATACACATCTTATGGAGGGAGCAAGATTACATGCAACAAACATCAGGTCAAAAAAGTCCTGACACTTCTTTTGACTTCCTCAGCAAGCACTTGGCCCTTCTTTTGTCATGTATGTGTGTTACTTAAGAGTTTAAAAGATAGAGTAGATAGGTGCCTTAATCTAATGGATCTGTTGGTGTGAATTGAGTATTTGGCATGCTGCACAAATGAAGAAAAGTATCTACATGGAAGAGAGATATGATCTTATAAACACTACTCTGCAATCTTAGCTGCTGGGTTGTGCAATTCAGAACTCCTTGGTTAACCAGTCCTGTGTGGGTTGGTGTTTATTTTCAGAGGGAGGAGTGATCTAACACAGATATCTTAGCAATCTAGGGCAATGTTGCTGTGAGACTAATCACAACAGCAATTGAGTCTTCATGACAAATACAATGTAAAAAATTCCTAGGGCTCACCTTAAAGAATATCATTATAAATGAATGGAGACCAAACTATTTTTAGTTGATACGTTGTTACACTGAAGGCTATATAACACCATAAAGTTACATGTCTGGGCTGGGCCACAGAAATCATTGTAGTCTCTTCCTTCTTTACCCTGCCATGGCTTCTGTAGCGCTGGACGCAAGTGGTTTTTATATATGTGGATGGACAGCATCCAAACCTTTGCCCCAAAGGTGAAAGTAGATTGAAAGGAGAACAAGGTGAACTAGGAGACATCTTCTCTTTGCACCAGAATACAACAACAGGAAGTCTTCCTATTTTAATCTTTCCTGCATGGTCTGCAGTACGAAGTGTGCGATTTCTATGTGGAATTGAGGCATCTTGTAAAGTATTTGTGGAATGTGCAGGCCACTTTTGTTTCCTTTAATACACGACAGAAACTAATGTCTCAGTGGTGTACTCTGCTGTGCGCTATGTACTAAAAGGAGTCTAATTCCATGTTTTGTACATTCTTAGATTTCAGAGGTTTTTTTCAATCCCTTTCAGACACTTACCCAATTTTCTCATGGGAAGCGACATAGCAGTTTTATTCGAAGACAATTTCTAGATCTAGAAGTTACTTAACAAAGCAATTTCCTAGCCTAGACAGCTTTGCCCTAGAACAGGGCAAAGCAGTAGTTATTGCAATTACAGTCATAATTTTCAGGGCTGTTATGGAAGCAATGGAATGTTTTATACAGGTTACCTTACATTTTGTGATTTGCAGTAACTTTACAGTAATGTCTATAAAGATACTGACTATTAAAGGAAATAAATTTTTTGTCCTGTTTGATCTGAAATTCATTTTCCCCAATGTTTGTCTTTTCTTAGGGAAGTTTGTTTAGTCTTAACAGCACTTGCACTGAATCTGGCAATTTTGGCAAAGCTAATGTCACAGGAGAAATAGAGTTTGCCTTAAGATACATCTTCAGAGCTTACATCTTGGAAATTTGCATCAGGGGATGCAAGAACCTGGCTTACGGAGAAGAGAAGAAGAAAAAGTGTAACCCGTAAGTATTTCGCAGAGAAGGAGAAGAAACCTAAGGAAAATATTCTGGTTTTTTGAGATATTTATGCATGTTGTGATTGAAATGGATTGATATATGATGGTATGCCATATTGGCACTTTCAGAACCTCCAACATACGTACCAGCCCTTTGTACATATACACACTGGAAGACAAATACGTTTCATACCAATGCTTATTCCATTCTTACAATTTTCTGCTAGGAATTGTCCCTTTCCCTTCTTGTGAGCAAGCAGTTGGGTATCTATGTTGCTGATGAGTACCTTTGGACCTCAAGAATAGCTGTTCAGATTTTAGTTCTTAAGTTGTGCCCAGAAAATTCATATGTAAGTGGCTGAAACATGAGATGACCTGTTCCTAATATGTCTGCTGACTCACTGTGGGTCACTGGGTGATTGCTATACTACTCAGGTGCTTTTATCTTCTGTAATAAGAGTAGAAATTTCAGATGCTGCGATGGATCTTAAAGTCTAAGGCTGCTTAATAATTATGTATCATTGTAAGAAGAAGAAATATTTACTTCTGTAGATAAAATATGCCATAGAAATTTTTGCTGCACAGTTAAGCCTTGGTGATTTATCTCTCTACTGCTTAACAATGCTCTCTGACCATGCAGCAACCACCGATAGAAAATCAACAGTTAGAATACCTAACTACCTGTTCTTGTCCCTGCTGTCACACTGTGTTTGAGCACTTGAGTGACCATGTTGGAACTGAGGACTTGCAGTCACCTTCACCCAGAAGGTCGAGGGTTTTTGCGCATCTTGCAGAGAATATTCATAAAGACAAGCTTGGTGATGAGCAGTGCCTTGCTGGAACAGCAGCTTGTGGAGCAGGACAATTTGGGAGCTCTTCAGAAGTGGGTCAAGGTTCTTTAAGTCCCCTGGTAATTAAGCCAGGTAAACAATTACAGGAAGGCTGAAAGGCAATGTGAGAAGTGTTGTGTAGTAAACATTATGTTCTCTGTTGGCACATATTTATATATTTCTGTTGGTTTCCAAGCCAACAGAAAAATTATAGTATACTCGCTTAACATGCTTGCTGAAAAGCAGACTTTTAACTGATGTTTAAAACCTGTTGAATTACTTAGCTTATTTGCTGTTTTGAAGTCTGACTGGCTACATTTTAATTAAATTGATTTGGGGTCATAGAAAAAGAGGCTAAAGCTTCTAGGACTTGTGTATTTTAGAAAGTAGTTTTATCTATGGGTAAGTTCAGAAAAAATAAGGAAAATGTGTAAGTTTTGCAACTATGATATGAGGTACAGCTGATTTTTATTTACCCAGCAAGTTAATCAAAAGGCTGTTTTAGAATTGGTTTAAATCATAATAAGTGAAATATATACAACAAATACAGTTTAAAAGTATTTAGTATTAAGTAAACAATGACTCCTTTCCCTGACAAGCCGTGAGCACTCTCTATGGCTAAAACTCCTAAGTTTTGAAGCCATAATCCAATTACAGCCCACTGAATTGATAGTAAGGAGAATATTTAGGTATTAGCGTTCACTTGACCTACACATGAGAAACTTTGGGTAGGAATCATTACTGGTGCAACTCAGCTTCCAGAAACTTTTTTTACTGGTTTTCCTTGAATCAATGTTAGGGTAATTTTGGCCACTTTTAGACAATCTCCCATTTTCATTCTAGTGGCTGTTAGAACAATTAGCATTTTTAAGACTTATGAATTATTATGTATTATTTATGTGATAATACCTTTTTTGCTACATGGTACCCAGTGTTGTGAAGACAAGATATTTTCTTTATGAACAAGCAGCAGTGATCCTAAAGTTGACTGAGTTTATTTTTTTTCTTTGAGCACATAATATGCTGTTTGTTTTCATCATAAAACTGTCACTAAACCTGGAAGGCGATTTCTTTAGGGGCTATTTTATCAGAGGCCAAGAGTACAAAACCAGAAGATTCCTATTCAGATCCTAATCCTTTCTGAGTTACAATGGAATTGAAACACATTAGCAGAATGATACACAGGGTTCCTTATAGTTTATCTGCTTTTACTGAGAAAAGATATAAATCACATTTTGCCATTTTGTTGATGGAAACTTACAAAGTCAATAAAATTTTTTAAGAAATAAGAAAAACTCCTCTCATCTAATTGTTTTCTCCCTGCCCCTTTTGATCATTTTCAATGTATCTTTCTTTCTCTATATAAGGTATGTTAAGGTTTATTTACTTCCTGATAAATCTCCTTGGAGTAAGCGAAAGACAGCTGTCAAAAAGAGCACAGTGGATCCAGAGTTCAATGAGACTTTGAAGGTATGGTTTGCAACTGTGTTGCTGCTAAGTGTGCTTTTCTATGGTACAATCCTGCAAGTTCTGAATCGACCTGATAGGGCAAATTTAGGAGTCACTGACAATAATAATTTTAAAAATTATGGTTTTTTCAGTCCAAATAAGAGAAAATGCTTTTGGAGTTGCAACAGTAAATGGCAAACCATTAGAAGAGTCTGCTTTTGTCCAAGAGAGCACTTTTAATGAATACTAGTGTTGTTCTGAGTTACCTTGTGGCAAAACCAAAGTGTCTTCCATAGACATGGGTTTTTGTACGTTCTGGAACTGAATTCAGCGAAAATGGTCAAAAGTGCACAACACTATTACAGGTGAACTACATCATGCCACTGAGATCCAGCTTGGTGGGATTCAGCTGCAAGTTAAGGCACCTGCATTTAGAGAGAGTTGCATGTGTGAGAGGTGTGCAAGTGCTCCTGGGAATCACTGGAGCCCAGGATGGTTCAGGGTGATTAGCCACAGAGCCTACACCCAGCTTCTGATTCAACAGCCTAAATATGGATAGCGATTTTCTTGCCTCTCCATTGCCTTCAGCTTTCAGTGCAGGTCACCTATGGGCTGGGTATCATGTTTGCCAGTCTCATGTGGGTATATTAGATACCCACATACCGTATACCATGTGGTGTATTAGATACCCAACAATGTCTCAAAGGGCTCTAACTATGTTTGGGAAGTGGATCAGGGCTTTAATTAGTGATCACCTGAGTTACTTCCTTGCCCCTGCTGACTGCATTAAATAGATGTCCACTGAACAGGATGGGAGTTTCAGAACCATCATTAGATGTCTTAATCTTGAATTGGCCTCCAGAGCAGCCAAATTCTGCTGGGAACATCAACAGAAATATAAAAAAAAACTCCAACCCCCAACAAAAACCAAACCAAAAAAAGAAAGAAACAAACCAAAAAAAGAAAGAAACAAAC